AAGTTTCTTCTCCAACCAATCCAACTTAAATCCTCCATCTATCATGTATACCGATGCAGCGCGTACATCAGTCAGATCATCATTCGAGAGTTCTTGGGGTGATCGGCATAGCTTATGAGTTAAGCTGAGTAGGACATTCATGTACCCTGTCCTCACATGCGGGTTCTTCTTAAGCAACTCTGATGCAACGTCTCGATGATTTACAAATAAACGCTTCAAAAAATTAATCTGCAAGCGGAAAAAAAAACATATATGAACAAAAGTATCCAAACACTTTAGTGTGCAACTTTTATGATACTTTTGTATGAAGTGTTCTACTTATATATCAGAAAACAACATATTTTCCCATAGTCTCTTAATGTTGAAATTTCGACAAAGATAAAACAAAGTTTCCATTTTTCTTTGAGTTTCTTACCTGTGATGGAAGAAGTGTATACCCATTGATTTCATTCAGTTTTTGAGTCTTGTTGAGTAAATCACTAGACACTGCACTATCATCTTCTAGCTTTATTTTTTTCAGCGGTTGAGTTGCCTCTTCAGATTCCTCTGATACATCTAATTTGCCAATAACTTCAAGAACATTTACAGGCGCAACAATTTTGAGATGGCCGTTTACCAGAAATCCGCTATCTTTGGCTTTAAGTTCGGTTAAGGGTAGCATTTCATGGAATCCCCAGGCTAGTACCTTGTCATGATACCAGTGAGATGTTTCTTGAAAAATCAGAAAACAGATTCAAACATCAAGGCACACAACTTATATATACAATCAAACAATTATAAACTTTCTACCTTATGACCATGAAAATACTCACCTTTAAGTTCTGAATTTTCTCCCGGACGTTGATTTACTATGGTAAAGGAAACTTTCGCGTGTCTTCTCCATCCAGAAGGCAAAGATTTATAATCAACAACAACCATATACAGAGACAAATTATTATCCTTTTTAAATCCTTTGGGATATGCCAAAAGACGCCTGCAAGCAGAAAAAAACAAAATATTGAAAACAATCAGCAAAACGAAGGCACTTTAACCTAAGCTGAGAAACACAAACATTACCAACAGCCAATCGCTTAACTAAAGATTTCAGACAAAACTTAGAGGTATGTACGGGCATATGCCCGGAACTTCTTAGTTATTAAAAAAAAAACACAAACACAAACATTACCGAACAATTTGGTATGTCTTACCATCTGCAGCCACCGATAACGAATGGATCAGAATAAATTTTCTCAGATTGCAAAGATGAGAAATTCTTTATCACCCAAGTGAAAGCTTCGTCATTACCCATATTAATCCTAATGATGACTCCTTACTCCTACACACCCAAATTTGCAAATCGGGAAAAAATCAAACAACAATCTCGACAAAGAAACCAAAATAATTAAAGATTAAGATTGTAAGCAATTTAAACCAATTTTTTCCCCTACAAGTTTACCACACACACGGCTTTATAAGCGGTCGAGTTTGATATACGAAGACGAGCGGAACTCCGGGTCTTTGTTGGGCTAATTTCGTTTGAGGCCCACTAACTATTGTTTATGAATCAGCCCAGCAAGTTCAGTGTAGCCAGTGTTTGAAGCTGGGCCGAAGTTGATGATATAAAATAATATTCGTTGTTCAACCTGATCAAAGGGGATAATGGGTCTATTTCATAATTCACCATTTCAAGACGACAATGGGTCTATTTCGCATATGAATAAGCACAAAGGTATTCTTTTAAAAGAATACATTACACTAGAGGATATTCCAGGCTACGCCGAGGTTTGTTAACTATAAATTTGTTTGCTATTTGAATTTCACAAAAGTAGTATTGAAGTAGTTTTGTGATGTTGTATATTAACAAACAATTATATTTTCATTCAATTTATAAATATATATAAAATTGGTATATAAAATTTAAATTTTGACTTGTTTAAAATTTCGAACAATACTTTTCAATGACATAATAATTTAGATTATTCTTTAGTTACATTGTCAGCAATTATATAAGTAGTCCAATAAAGACCACACATCGAGATAGGTTGTATTTAATAACTTTGATTCGTGATTAGGTCCTTAAGACTGGTTCCTTCTCCAAACTGCTTTTCCTCTCCCTATCTATTTTTCTTTACTCTCCGTTTATTAATATATGATGTTTAAGATTTATGCACTTAAATTAAGAAATTATTAAATATTTATTGTTTAAAAAAAATAAAACATCACTTTGTGATTTATCCAAAACATTTCAACCAATAGAAAAATAACATGCAAAACTCAAAGAGGCAAGAAAACTACAAAATCAATTAATTATGCATAGAAAAGAACTCAAAGAGTCAATAAAACTATTAAATCAATTAATTATATATAAAAAGTGAAAACATGACCTATTAACAAACCAAAAAAACTCTTAAAACATCTTATATAAACAAACAAAAGAAATACTTCTTATTGCTTGAATCTAGAGATGGACGACGACTGGAGAGGAGGTGTTGGAAGACATTTAGATGCCCGAGTGGAGGAACGCCAACAATTTTTCGTAGAAAGGAAATAGGATTGGAAGTGAAAACCGCAAAGAACAAAATGAAATCAGAATGTTCAAAGTTAATGATGAAGAATTTGGACAATCATATGAGAGATTGATGGAGGATAATAATCATAAACAAAGCATTGTAACGTCTCAAAACGTTTCCCTTTTGTGTAGACTATTTTCATGTTTTGAAAACGGACAGGGACGCGTGAAAGATTTTAGGTTAGATGAAAACACACATGGCATTTGCGATTTTGCTGTGGGAATACCTGCCTACGTGGCTTCAATTTTCTTTGTAAGAAACTTGATCATGTGCATATATACAAATTAGGATAGATATAAAATAATCACTTCCGTAATTCAATTTTCTCTCTAAGAAACTTTATCTTGTGCATAGACACAAATTATAG